TCTCAATGTTTGCTGATGATGCAAAAATTATGAGGAGGATTGAAACAGAGGATGATAGTAGGAGGCTACAAGATGACCTAGACAGACTGAGTGAATGGTCCAACATATGGCTGTTGAAGTTCAACCCGAGTAAATGCAAAATAATGAAACTAGCTAGTGGAAACAGGAGGCCAGGCACAGTATACAGAATAGGAGATGAAGTACTTAATGAAACGGACAGAGAAAGATCTAGGAGTTGATATCACACCAAACCTGTTTCCTGAAGCCCACGTAAAAAGAATAACGTCTGCGGCATATGCGAGGCTGGCTAACATCTGAACAGCGTTCAGAAACCTGTGTAAGGAATCATTCAGAATCTTGTATACCACATATATAAGACCAATCTTGGAGTATGCGGCCCCAGCATGGAGCCCGTACCTTGTCAAGCACAAGACGAAGCTGGAAAAAGTCCAAAGGTATGCCACTAGACTAGTCCCAGAACTAAGAGGCATGAGTTACAAGGAAAGGCTGCAGGAAATGCACCTTACGACACTGGAAGACAGAAGAGTAAGGGGGAGACATGATCACAACCTACAAAATCCTCAGGGGAATCGACCGGGTAAACAAGGATAAACTATTCAACTGGTGATACGCGAACAAGGGGACACAGGTGGGAACTGAGTACCCACATGAGCCACAGGGACGTTAGAAAGAACTTTTTCAGTGTCAGAGTAGGTAACTGATGGAATGCATTAGGCAGTGATTTGATGGAGGCTGACTCCATACACAGTTTCAAGTGTAGATATGGTAGAGCCCAGTAGGCTCAGGAACCTGTATACCAGTTGATTGACAGTTGAGGCGCGGGACCAAAGAGCCAAAGCTCAACCCTCGCAAGCACAAATAGGTGAGTACACACACACACACACACACACACACACACACTCACTCACTCACTCACTCACTCACTCACTCACTCACTCACTCACTCAGGAAGTAGCCCGTATCAGCTGTCTAACTCCCAGGTACCTACTTATTGCTAGGTAACAGGTGCATCAGGGTGAAGGAAACTTTTCCCATTTGTTTTTACGCCGGCTGCCAGGATCGAACCCCGGTCCCTGGGGTCCACGAGTTCGATCCCGGCAGCTGGCGGAAAAACAAATGGGTAAAGTTTTCTTCACCCTGATGCCCCTGTTTAGCCGATGCCCCGAGTGTACTCGCCTATTTGTGCTTGCGGGGGTTGAGCTCTGGCTCTTTGGTCCCGCCTCTCAACTGTCAATCAACTGGTGTACAGATTCCTGAGCCTATTGGGCTTTATCATATGTACATTTGAAACTGTGTATGGAGTCAGCCTCCACCACATCACTGCCTAATGCATTCCATTTGTCAACCACTCTGACACTAAAAAAATTCTTTCAAATATCTCTGTGGCTCATTTGGGCACTGAATTTCCAGGTGTGTCCCCTAGTGCGTGTGCCCCTTCCCACGGTTCCCAACACGTACTTGTAGCTAGTAGCACTTGTAAACTAGTTCTTGGTGGGGAGTGAGTGAAGAGGGGCGAAGCGGAGAGCGAGCCTAGCGAGATGATGGGTAGTAAATAGTGGGTAGTGAGTGGAGAGAGAGATGGAGGGGTGAGGGTGGAGACTGTGATGTGGTGTGAGTGATGGCTCAGGCCTGGGCTAGACCTCCCTATTAGTGAGGGCCGGCCAGGATGTGTCGGGGTGATACTCCCTCATGCTCAGGCGGGCTACTGAACCTGATGGGGGGGGGGGGCTACTGAAGGTGATGAGGGGGGGGCTACTGAAGGTGATGGGGGGGGAGGGGAGTAGGTGAGCTAATAATTGAGGTTGATGTGACCTTCCATATCTCGGCGCTAATACGTCGCATTTGTTACGGAATGTATTAACCCGTTAAAATTACGACGCATTAGTTCAAACTAAAGTACCGTAAAAGCCATTTTTTCTTTGCAACAGCCTCGGCAGGTGTGGTGGGTTGCTTGGGTTCGCACGTTGCTGTTAGGCCAAACTTGTAAGATTTACAGAGTGGCAGATTCAGAGACCGGGCTACAACGGTCAAGGGAAAATAAAGACCCGTTCCTGCAAGAAGGCCTTGATCAACCGGGCTGTGGCGGAAATGCCGGCCGGCGGGCAGCAACAACAGTCTGATGGACTGAGTTACCACGTCAGGCCTCTCCCAAGACTCCACTTAAGGTCTACGAACCAATGTTCATCTTCCACTTTTACCATAACACTTTTCTGAAGAGTAAAGTGGTCAAGCCGCCAATGGTGGAGGCGCACACGTGCCCAAGATGTGAGGGCGTTGGGCACGTGTTACGGTGAACACGTGCCCCCCCCCCCCTCCCGACCTCTCTCTCGTACAGGGCATCACGTTCACAATTTTATTGACTGACATCTTTCCAGGCCGTCATCAGAACAGAGATCCGCGGATTGCGATGCGTGTGTACAAAATATGAAGTATTCCAGTCGGTAAATAGTCCGCATTATTCGTGTACGAAGCTCCGACTCTCGTACAAAGGTGTGCCTCGTGACGAAGCTGTGACATGAGCCATGCTTCAGTCACCTTCAGCCAACATTCTGTAATTATACTGTATCAAAGCACCCAAACTAAGCATTTATACAACTATGCACAAACTTCCACTATAATACAATTCATTTATATTTGAGAACAAAACGTTTGCTATCGGTTCCTGGACAACATTCATGCTGGTGTTAGATGCACAAGCCAAATACAGACTTTAGTCACGTTGTTGATAGTCAGTATATGTACTATTGTGTCGGGGTCAAGGGTGGGTTACATCCCCCCCCTCCCCTCACTTTTAATTTTCTGTGGTGTTAAATACACCGTGTGTGTGTGTGTGTGTGTGTGTGTGTGTGTGTGTGTGTGTGTGTGTGTGTGTGTGTGTGTGTGTGTGTGTGTGTGTGTGTGTGTGTGACACACACTGCGCCTCACCTGGCCTCGAATGGGCACCGAGGATGATTATTCTTCAGTTTCGTCCAAAGTCACAAGTCAGACCTGCACTTAAAAGCGTTTTGCGGCAATTTACGACAGGTGTTCCCGGGTTAATTGCTGGGGTTTTCTGGGGTCGCCAGGGGCGTGGTTGTGGTTCGAGGCCCTTATATGAGCGGGTCTTCTAAGCTCCAAATATGACTTTCATATAAATGGAGGTGTTGCTTTTGTTTTTGTGTACATATATATACTTTTTTAATTGTTTGTTAGTTTAAATGCTTTTTAAGAGAATTATGCTCGTTTTTGGTTCTGTGTTTTTGTCTGGTTTTATTTTAGCGATTATTATTATTATTATTATTATTATTATTATTATTATTATTATTATTCTACCACAGACGGGGCCATATATTTATAATGCTAAGCAGCATATATACATTTTCTTCTGTCCTCCATGGACAAGGAGAGAGATCAGTTAAACATATAGTTCAGTGATTTATTGAACAATCAACCACAGAAGGTGATTGTAGCGCTTTTAAAGTGCCAATCTAACCTACATACATAAACACAGATTTACGTCTGTCCCACATAAAAGAACAGCTAATAATATATATATATATATATATATATATATATATATATATATATATATATATATATATATATATATATATATACACACACACACATACTGTCAGACCACGGAGGAAAATTGAAACAGGAATTTCCTTAAGTACTTTCGTATATTAATACATCTTCAGGAGGAGTGGTTTTACAGGTCGAGTACTGGACATAAATAGGCAGGAGAGAATGGTGGAGTGGGGTGAGGTACAATACGTGGGCATTGCAGAGGGCCTAGTGGCCCATCCGATGCAGCTTCCATTCATAACCACACACAGGCCCACACATGGATAATTATAGCATAAAATAGTAAATATTTACAATTAATTAGTAAGACAAATGTGTTCCAATGATCCTACTTAAATCGCCCTTTAATTGATCTATTAAAAATGGATCTAAGTTATATAAACCACTGCTAATGTTCAAATTACTTTCTTTTGTGATCTGTATCAAAGCAGATTCAATTATGTTATAGGTGCTTTTACAATTCGTTATTGAAGAAGCCATCTCCCAATCAATTTGGTGAGCATCTTCTGACAGATGAACAAACAAAGCATTAGACAATTGGCCAAGTCTTACAGAGTATATATGTTGCGAAATTCTACATTTCAAATCTTTAGATGTTTGCCCAACATAGAACTTATTACAGTCTTTACAATGTATTTTATAAATGACACAATTATCACTACGAGGGCTGTTCCTAACTAATAGCTTACCAACAGTATTTTCGTAGCTAAACAATACATGTATATTAAAAAGTTTCAAGGCCTTGACAATATTTTCAAACCCAGAGAAATATGGTAAACATAACACATTCTTTGGGCGAATTCTTTCACTGCATACATTATTATAATATGTACGACGTGCTTTGCTACGGCAAACTAAAAAAAACTCGGTGGGTAACAAAGCTCGAGACCAATCGAATCAATATTCTTAAACTCTTCGTCTAAGAATTCTGGACTCACAACTCGAAGAGCTCTTAGATACATTGAAGAAAATATTGACTTTTTCACATTGTATCTATACCCTGAAAAATAATGGACATAAGATAAATTATTCGTAATTACTAAGAATAATATATATATATATATATATATATATATATATATATATATATATATATATATATATATATATATATATATATATATATATATATATATATAATAATAATATCGCCGGATATCTCATACTATCGCAGGTGGTCGACTTGGCACCAGTTTTTAACTGTGCCTATTCACCCAACAGTAATTGGGAACCAAGGTTGTAAACCGATTGTGGGATGGTGTTCCAGGGAAGACTGGCAGGGTAAGGCTTGGGAGGGAGGGAGTGAGGGAAGGGAAGGATGTAAGCTTGTTGACGTGAGGAGGAGGTACTTAACTATTCTCACTGTGTAAAGAAAATTTTAAATCAATTCAACCTATTTTGTTCTCTTTCAGGTTCTTCAACATTGTGAATAACTTCCTGAAGTTGAACAAGAACAATGGTGAGTACTATATTCATTTTTTCTTTGCTTCTTGAAGTTGAACAAGAACAATGGTGAGTAGTGTGTTAATTTTTTCTTTGCAAAATTCTACTATTGTCTGACCCCCTGTTCTTTACCTTCCCTCTCTGTTGTCCATTTTGTTCTCTTATACATAAAGAAATTTAAAATATCAATGTAAATGCACCTTTAAACATGAAATAAATACAAAAATGTAAAAGGAGAAACTTGGCGTCTAGCAGGAACGGAGAATCATTCAAAACTGACCATTAGTAACTCCCACCTTATGAACAAACCCACAAGGGCCGTGACGTTCCCACCTTATGCTAAATATAAAGTCTAACTCCTCTATCAATTAAAGGTTTTAACAACACCAAAAAAAACCTTGTTGTGAGTTTTGTTGCTGGGTAGTGGTGACGTATCGGGACCATCCTCTCTCCTTGTATGCAGCTCGTGGTGTGAAAATATATAAATGTGCTGTTAGTGTGTACATTATCATGTGGGTGCTAAAGCCGTACTGGGATTGAATGTTGATGGTGGCCTGTCTCGGGCACTCTTGATGCTCCGTCATGCGCCCGACCCGCATCACGCTTTCTGCTCTGCCATATATAGGCTGTGTGTCATTTAGCACTGTTGATACCTTGTCATGTACGTGTCCTAATGGACCGCTGTTGGTACCCCTGTTATGCGCACTTCATGTACCACCGCTGTTGGTACCCTTGTCATGCGCACTTCATGTGCCACCGCTGTTGGTACCCTTGTCATGCGCACTTCATGTGCCACCGCTGTTGGTACCCCTGTCATGCGGTGTATCAGAGGGCCGCCCGTGCTTGGCAGGACCTGCTCGGGCCCTGTGGTAAGGCACGCTACATGACAGAGTATCAAGAGTGGGCCCTTTACCACTTTTGAGACTGGTATTTGGCTGCCAACTCTACAGCCCGCTGGTCTTCGCCCATCACCTGCTGATATACACTGAAAGGTTTTTATTTTATACTGTATTCTAAACAACGTTACAAATGTTCTTCCGATACTTTTAATTGGATTTCTTCTGGAGTATATTTTTATGATATTTCTCGCTCTCCATATATATTCATTTGGACCTTACACTTACAAGAACCTTACACTTTTTAGGGTTGAAGTCTTAACAGCCATTCGTCTACCGATTCCCGAAGTGTCACGTTCTTCGTGTAATTTTCTGCAGTCCTTTGCTTTTAAACAGAGGACTGCAGAAGAATTCCTGCACATTACAGGAAGAACTTGACACAGTTTGTCTCTGTTCGTACGTGTGCGTGTGCATGCTCTCTGGTTTGCCTCAAGGTAGTGGACTTGTACGTACAAGTGCACTAACTCTCCGAAATGGAGGGAGTTCAGAGAACATATAAGACATACAGACGCGATAAAGCTCCTAAAGTATTGAGATCGTCTCAAAGCTTTCCAAATATACTCACTAGAAAGAATGTTGATGGTGCCAAATAATATACACGTGGAAAATACTGAAGGGCCGAGTACCAAATGGTGGATATGTGGGCCTGCGGACCGCTCCAAGCAACAACCTGTTGGACCAAACTCTCACAGGTCAAGCCTGGCCTCGGGCCGGGCTTGGGGAGAAGAACTCCACCAAGAACCCCATCAAAGGTCTACAGTCCATAAGTGTGTCACTGTTCATCTGTCTGCTTTACACGACACACCAACGTGTGTTTTGCTCTGCACGTGGCTATTAATCTCGCACATTGGTGTGCTAATCTATACATTCGTGGATGAATCAATACATGGTTGCGTGTGCCAACATACACATGGGGTGTATGTAGTTGTGTGTACACGGTGTTCACCCCGGTGGCTGGACAACCTGCGTGACGCCTGCACATTTGCCACGCTGTATGTGCAAATGTGCTGGAGTGTGTTGGGCATACAAAGTGAGCAAGCGTCTCTCTCTCTCTCTCTTTCTCTTTCTTTCTCTTTCTCTCTTTTTCTCTTTCTCTCTTTCTTTCTCTTTCTCTCTCCCTTTCTCTCTCTCTCTTCTTTCTCTTTCTTTCTCTTTCTTTCTTTCTCTTTCTTTCTCTTTCTTTCTCTCTTTCTTTCTCTCTTTCTTTCTTTCTCTCTTTCTTTCTTTCTCTCTTTCTCTCTCTCTTTCTCTTTCTTTTTCTTTCTCTCTTTCTTTCTTTCTCTTTCTTTCTCTTTCTCTTTCTCTCTCTTTCTTTCTCTTTCTCTCTCTTTCTCTCTTTCTTTCTCTTTCTTTCTCTTTCTTTCTCTTTCTTTCTCTTTCTTTCTCTTTCTTTCTTTCTCTCTTTCTTTCTCTTTCTTTCTCTTTCTTTCTCTTTCTTTCTTTCTCTTTCTTTCTCTTTCTTTCTCTCTTTCTTTCTTTCTCTCTTTCTCTCTCTCTTTCTCTCTCTCTTTCTTTCTCTTTCTCTCTCTTTCTTTCTCTCTCTTTCTTTCTCTCTCTTTCTTTCTCTCTCTCTCTCTTTCTTTCTCTCTTTCTTTCTCTCTTTCTTTCTCTCTCTTTCTCTCTCTCTCTTTCTTTCTCTCTTTCTCTCTTTCTCTCTCTCTTTCTCTCTCTTTCTCTCTCTTTCTCTCTTTCTCCCTCTTTCTCTCTCTTTCTCTTTCTCTCTCGCTCTCTCTTTCTCTCTTTCTCTCTCTTGTCCATGCTAGTAACAATTGCCTGTAGCGATGTGGTGTTGTGGCAGGCGTTGGTGTTGCGGCAGGCGTTGGTGTTGCAAACGCCGCTGCTGGCGCGAGTTGTAAACAAATTTGAAATTAATTTTGTGTTTAGAAACTCATTTGGGCAGAACATGCGGTTCATGGTGTCCTGAGCAATGGGCAAATTTGGGGCAGAGGCGAGTGTTGCTAAGTGACTTGGTCTGTGTACTGTGTCAGATAGTGAATAGGGGGGTTTGTTTAGGTGGGTGTTGAAGATGGTGGTGGTGGTGGGAGCCACTACCACCACCGAGGGTGAATGGTGGTGGTTACTACAGTGAAAGGATGCGTGTGTTCACCTGTGAGTGTCTACACCTCTCTGTGTACTCGGGTAAATGTTCTTGCAAACTTGAGATCGGTTTTTACCTCCGCCCCCTCATTACATGTAGCATTTTCATTCTGTTTACATTTAAATTTGTTTACTAACTACCGTGATTTATTTGAGTCAGTAGTTGCCACACGTGTCCCCTCGTACTGCTGGTCTCCTCGTGGTCAGTGCTTGAGTTTCAATTGTTTAAATTAACACTTTAGAGACGTGTTACATAACACGTACATGAAACACACAGGAAGGCCACGTCCCAAATATTCACAACAAAATATCAACCTATTTTAGTGAAAGATATGGCAGGAAATACAGACTGGGGCCAGTGAGAAGAGGCCCCATAGGCACAATCAGAGAGCACTCTTATCAACATCAGAGGTCCACGATTTTTCAGTTTCCTTCCAACTAACATAAGAAATATATCCGGATATATTGAACGTGTTCAATATATCAAATATATCGAACAAAATTGAACGTGTTCAACCAAAAATAGACCAGTTTCTGCAGGAAGTGCGGGACCAACCTATGGAGGCCTGCTACTCGCTCCAAGCAACAGCTATTTGGACTAAATTACCACAAGACAAGCCTGGCCCCAGGCCGGGTTCTGGTTCTGACAGTCCCTGGTGATTACCTCTACCATGAGTCTTCGTAACCCACTGGACCATAGCCATCGCAGCCACGATGGTCTAGTAGAAACTTGTCAAGTTCTGTATTGAAAGCTTCCACAAGTATGTCAGCGACATGTCTTATACTGGTGAGCTGGGGACTCGAGTCATGGCCCTCCAATGTTTACATGTCGTTACCTCGAGCGTCTGTTGCGTATTTTTGGACACTTTATAACTTTGCCTTGTGCTTTTTCTCATGCAGTGGCTGCATGCTCAAGAGCTAGTCTCACGCAGGTTATGTTTAAGAGCCGTAAGGCCCCTCCTAAGGTCCTGGATGCTACATAGATGTTGTCATGTTTGGCATATGACACTAACATTATTGTGCTAATGTGGACTTTGCGCAATGAGTGTCTTGTCTACTCCCAGGTCTTTCTAACGCGATGCAAGAATTTGTCTGCCCTTTATTTTGCTATAATTGGTTTCATCACTTCATTTACTCGTAACTTTGCATTTGGCCTCTTGGTTGACGGTCTCGTTAATCAGACTGGTGTAGGCGGCTGCATACAGTCCAAGGTAGAAACCACAGCCCTGATTATTCTCACTCGAGTTACAGCTGCAAACATTGATATGAAGGTTACCTTGAGGTTACCTTAAGATGGTTTCGGGACTTAGCGTCCCCGCGGCCCCGTTCTCGACCAGGCCTCCTCGTTGCTGGACTGGTCAACCAGGCTGTTGGACGCGGCTGCTCGCAGCCTGATGTACGAGTCACAGCCTGGTTGATCAGGTATCCTTTGGAGGTGTTTATCAAGTTTTCTCTTGAGCACTGAGGCAGTTACGCCCCTTATATGTAGTGGAAGCGTGTTGAACAGTCTCGGGCCTCTGATGTTGATAGTTCTCTCTGAGTACCTGTGGCACCTCAGCTCTTCAACGGGGGTATTCTGCACATCCTGCCATGCCTCCTGGTCTCATGTGATGTTATTTCTGTGTGCAGGTTTGGGACCAGCCCCTCTATGAAAGGGAGCCATTTTATGTTGTTTCTTGTAAGGGACAGAATCAAACGCTTTTTAACAATTGAGGAACGGGCAACGTCGTTATCGCGTCCCTCTGTTGCTGGATTTATTGTAGAACTCTAAGTTTGTTAAGCACGGGTTTCCCTTGATAAATTCGCGCTGTGTGCACCTCCTTGTGCCTGCAACATCGAGCTGTTGGCTCTTGGACCCCCATTCCCCCCCCATCTTTCCATCCAGCGTTTGTCTAATGTTCCGACCCCCGACGTATTCTGTGTGTGTATTTACAATTTGTATCTGCAGAATCGAGGTGTTAGCTCTTGGACCCCGCCTTTCTAACCAATTTTTTGTTCCACTATTATGCCTACCACATGTATT